GTAGAAATGTCCATTTTCATTCAATTTTCCAGGAGGTGGGACAGGCCATTGCTGCGCAGGGCTGAAAAAAGGGAAAAGCAGTTCTTTCCACCAGGAAAAAAAGCCTGGAACCTTTGGCTTTGAGGTGCAGTTGTTGGGGCAGCCTGGGTACTTCTTGGGCTGGAAGACCTTTCTGTGGTGGCACCTTTTCTCTGGCAGGAATCTTCATTTACATTCAATTTTCCAGGAGGTGGGACAGGCCTTTGTAGTGCAGGGCTGAAAAAAGGAACAGGAGCGCTTTCCACCAGGAAAAAAATTCTGGAAGCTTTGGCTTTGAGGTGTAGGTGGTGGGGCATCCTCGGCAGTTCTTTGGCAGGAAACAGTTTTCTGAGGTGGTACCTTTTGTCTGGTAGGAATCTTCAGTTGGAGTAAATTTTCAAGGGGTTTGGACTGGTCCTTGCAGTTCACTCTTTAAAAAATTGAATAGCAGCTCTTTCCACCAAGAAAAAAAAGTCTGGATCCTTTGGCTTTGATGTGCAGTTGTTGGGGCAGCCTGGGCACTTCTTGGGCAGCAAGACCTTTCTGTGGTGGCTCCTTTCGTCTGGCAGGAATCTTCATATGGAGTAAATTTTTCAGGACGTGGGACAGGCCATTGCAGCGCAGGGCTGAAAAAAGGGAACAGCAGCTCTTTCCAAAAAGAAAAAAAGTCTGGAAGCTTTGGCTTTGAGGTGTAGGTGGTGGGGCAGCCTGGGCACTTCTTGGGCAGGAAGGAGCTTTTATGGTGGCACCTTTTGTCTGGCAGGAATCTTTATTTGGAGTAAATTTTCCAGGAGGTGGGACAGGCCATTGTAGAGCAGGGCTGGAAAAAAGCGAACAGCAGCTCTTTCTACCAGGAAAAAAAGTCTGGAAGCTTTGAGTTTGAGGTGCAGCTGTTTGTGTAGTCTGGGCACTTCTTTGGCAGGAAGAGTCTTCCGTGCTGGAACCTGTTGTCTGGTAGAAATGTCCATTTTCATTCAATTTTCCAGGAGGTGGGACAGGCCATTGCTGCGCAGGGCTGAAAAAAGGGAACAGCAGCTCTTTCACCTAGGAAAAAAAGTCTGGAAGCTTTGGATTTGAGGCGCAGTTGTTTGTGTAGTCTGGGCACTTCTTGGGCAGGAAGAGTCTTCCGTGCTGGAACCTGTTGTCTGGTAGAAATGTCCATTTTCATTCAATTTTCCAGGAGGTGGGACAGGCCATTGCAGCGCAAGGCTGAAAAAAGCGAACAGCAAATCTTTACACCAGGAAAAAAAGCCTGGAAGCTTTGGTTTCGACGTGCAGTTGTTGGGGCAGCCTGGGCACTTCTTGCGCAGCAAAACCATTCTCTTTTGGCACCTTTTGTCTGGCAGGAATCTTCAGTTGGATTCAATTTTCCAGGAGGTGGTACAGGCCTTTGTAGCGCAGGGCTGAAAAAAGGGAACAGCCTTTTTCCAAAAAAAAAAAGAAGTCTGGAAGCTTTGGGTTTGTGGTGTAGTGGGTGGAGCATCCTGGGCACTTCTTGGGTAGTTAGAAGTTATAATGGTGGTACCTTTTGTCTGGCAGGAATCTTCATATGGAGTAAATTTTCCAGGAGGTGGGACAGGCCATTGCGGAGCAGGGTTGGAAAAAAAAACAGCAGCTCTTTGTACCCAGGAAAAAAGTCTGGAAGCTTTGACTTTGAGGTGCAGTTGTTTGTGTAGTCTCGGTACTTTTTGGGCAGGAAGAGTTTTCTGTGGTGGAGCATTTTGTCTGGTAGGAATCTTCATTTACATTCAATTTTCCAGGAGGTGGGACAGGCCATTGTAGAGCAGGGCTGGAAAAAGGCAACAGCAGATCTTTCCACCAGGAAAAAAAGTCTGGAAACTTCGGTTTTGACGTGCAGTTGTTGGGGCAGCCTGGGCACTTTTTGGCCAGCAAGACCTTTCTGTAGTGGCACCTTTTGTAAGGCAGGAATCTTCATTTGGATTCAACTTTTCAGGAGGTTGGACAGGTCGTTATAGCGCAGGGCTGAAAAAAGGGAACAGGAGCGCTTTCCACCAGGAAAAAAAGTCTGGAAGCTTTGGCTTTGAGGTGTAGTTG